GCACATTAATTTTGTCGAAAAAATTAATTCAGAAATCGAATCCGTTTGTAAATCCCAAACCTTCCACATCGGGGCTGAATGCAATAAAGATAAGTGGCGTTACAACTACTGCGACACCTCCAGCGCCCGTCAAGGGAGGATTTTTGAAGGTATATCTAGGGAAAAGAAGCTAGGCGTATATGAGAGCATTGCTTTTCGTTTTCAGGTTCGATCATTTACTTCACTGCAGTCAGTGCCATCGGAATGTATTACGATTCCTGACGATCCACCTCCATATAAAATTACAGAAGTGGACCCGCTGAGCTTTACGACTGAAGAAGATCCGTTGGCTCTACCTTCCGAAATTGTCGCAAAACGTAATAACTTTTGCCGTATTTGCGTTAAACGTAAATTCGAATATTATTCTTGTTTCAGCTAATCATGCAAAACCAGTCAGCAGTAAACTTTCCAAGCAAAAACCGAAAACGACCGAAGCAGCTCTATCACCGATGAAAATAGACAGGTGTATGGTGATTAATGTGAAAAGGAAACAGACTCCTCATGTACAAAAAATGATGAGTGCGTTCGTGCGATTAGAACGCTCAGCGGATGTAGACAAAATGATGGCTAAGGCCACTAAAAATGGACACAATTTTGGGGCGGGAAATAAAAGTGGTGGTTCCTAACATTAAGATTGTATGAATTTCATGATTAAAATTACCGGTTCAGATAAATCCAGTTCTGAAACAGCGATGCGAAATTTCATTTCGTCTAAGGAAATGTGATTTGTTGTTTAATTATTAGAGTAATAATTTAAATTATCTTTAAGTTTCACCGAATGACATTTTTATAACTTGTTTTGGTTTCTAAATGTGGCGAATGTTACGTTTCTATTTGTTTTAATTACTTTTGCCATTACCACAGCAAAATAAAAAAAAGTTGTTTGTTAACGATTCCAATAATGGTAAGTGCTGCTTCTGAAAAAACGTTTCTATTATTTATTCCCGACCTCGATGGGTTTCAGATGAAGAATATGAATCAAATGGATTTTATGTTAGGAAAAAAACAACCAGCAAAGAATCAGGCAACAGGACTTTTCAAATAATTTCAACAGAACTTACTCTAATTGTTTTTCTGATTTCAGACTCGACTTGTTCAAGTAACGGTCTTGAGGAAAATCC